GTGGCCATTTTCATTTTTATAATTCTAAGAAAAAATTAAATATAATTTAATTTTGTTTAATTTTGATATTTGTTATGTATTGATAATGATTTGAAATTTTGTATTGAAATTTTGATGAGATTTATTTTTAAAGAATGAGAGTGACCACATAGAAGACAAATACAATAATAAGTCACTAGTTTAATGAGCGACTTATTTTTAGCATCAGTAGCCAGTCGTCTATTTAATGAGCTGCTATGCATACTTTTAATTTTTTTAATATATTTCTTTTAATAAGTTATTCCATGTATCCTATTTAAAAAAATTGTCCTAAAAATTAAAAACTATCCTTCTCGCATGTTCATAATGCAGCAAGCCCTAAAAGAGTTGACTAGATTATCTCTTTTTTTATGTTTGAATTTTCTTCCATGCTTATGAAAATTAGCTTGATTAGATTCTTTAAATGGGTGATTTAAAATCATGCAGAGGTGATAACTGCTGCTGAGTTCCATCCTATTCATTGTAACATCCTAGCCTATGGTAGTTCAAGAGGTTTTATCCGGTTATTTGACATGAGACAATCAGCACTATGTGACCAGAATGCAAGAATGTGAGCTTGTAATAATTTCATATTCCAATAATGCCAAGAAGTCTTGTTATTATGTGCGGAAGTGGAACCCGTCCGGATGCCTAAGCCCGCGGCTTGGTATGACTGATGTGGCTCATTCTGATTGGTATCCAGATATAAAGCCGCGTTCAGCATCCGCACAGAATAATCCCTCCTTGTTTGGACCACACTTATTTTTCGTATGTCAAAATATAGTATAAATCATCAGCCATCTTATGTTTTTACCTTTGCATATATTTAGTCCACAGTTATTTTTTAACCAGAAGTTTGTTCTTACAGGTTAAAGGATCGAGAATCCCATGGTTCTAGATCCTTTTTCACAGAGATAATTTCTTCCATTTCTGATCTAAAGTTTGCCAAAGATGGAAGACATATTTTAAGTCGCGATTACATGAACCTGAAGGTATTTTTCTTCTTGTTTTTTAGTTTATGACTGCGTGTAGTTAAATGTTATCTCAACTATTAAATGATTGGATTGTAGGCAGTGATTGTCTCATTGTTCCTTTTTAATTTATTGTAGACCTGCAATGCTTTATGGTGCCGAAAGTTGGCCATTAAAAGAGAAGCATAATACTAAGTTAAGTGTTGTAGAGATGAGGATACTTAGGTGGATGAGTGGTTTTACCCTTAGAGATAGGATACAAAATGAGCATATACGTGAAAAAGTTGGAGTAGCTCTAGTGGAAGATAAGATTAGAGAGAGTCGTCTTAGATGATTTGGTCACATTAAACGGAGTCCTTCCGATGACCCGGTTAAGAAGTTAAGGTATCAGATTTGACTTATGTTAAGAAAGGTAGAGGTAGACCTAAAAAGACTTGGTTAGAAAATATTAGAAATTATATTTCTTTATTAGATTTAAATGAGAATTTAACTTTTAACATGACACAATGGCGAAAAAGGATTCATGTAGCTGGCTCCACGTAGTGGGACAAAGGCTTGATGTTGTTGTTGTAGTGAACTAAACCTTCTGTTGTGTTTGCAGTTCACTTCAACAATCATTTTCATAGTACAACTTGCCAAATTCATATTAGTGTATTAGTCTCATGGAATTTCCATTCAATTAGTGATCTTTCCTCGTGTCTACAGTTATGGGACATGCACATGGATGGAGCACCTGTTGCGACTTTTAAGCTGCATGAGTTTCTCCTCCCTAAGGTATTTTTCATGTGTAAGACTAAGCATCTAGCGAAATAGTGATTATAGTGGTTTGAATGTTTAATGTTTCCTATTGATAACTATAGATACAATTCCAGTGCTGTTTCAGTCAAATGTATTAAAACTTTTCTGGGATCCTGTGGCATTGTAGACAGACTATTTCCTTGACAATCCAACAAAAAGGAGTCATGATTGTGATAGGAAGTGATGCAATTTCAGCAAAACCTGAGAACAATATAGGAAATTTAGGAAGAACATACAAGAACTCTTTTCATTGAAAGAAGTCAAGAACTAAGAAGAAAATACAAGATGCAGTTGGATCTTCAATTGGAGAGGAAGATTTCGAAGATCCGGCTCTCCCAAATCTCTAACCGTTGGCTAGAGCCCACTCAACCTAAGAAAAAACTAATTCCAGCAAAGTCAAGCATCCTTTGAAATCACCCCATAGTTAGCTTTAAATAGGTTATGTAATTCCCTCCCAAATCAACCCCCTTTATCTAAATAATTCCCTCATATTTGAATTCAAATTAGATCTCTTTCCCTAATTAATTCTCTCCCAATTGCAATTAAAATTTTTCTAAACAGTTCCTCTTTGATTCCTCCTTAATTAATATTAACTCCCCTAAACTTTCCCTAAATAATTCTTTCTCAGATTTGAAATTTAAAATAAATTTCTTTGTCTAATTAATTCCCTTTCAATTATAATTAAAACTTTCCTAAACTCTTATTTGTTCCTATAAAGATTGTTGGAGGAATATATTTTTAGCAAGATAAAGATTGTTCCTATAACAATTACTTACTTCCTTGAAAGGTGCAGGGGTCTCTTCACAAAGTTCAAGTATGTACTTTGCTATCTTCTCCCCAATTCCCTAAATGAAAATATCATTTCCAATCAATAGGCTATCATAATATGCACATAAATACATCAAATTATAGCATATAGTGACAAATATATAGAAAAGTCTTTATTCCTAATATAACAGAGAAGGATTTACACAAATATTACAAAATTCTTATGTATTTATATATCTAATATCTAAACCTTTATGTCTACTTAGATAGAAGTTCATGGTTAAATTATATTAAAGCTATGCATGAAAATATGTGTTTGTACTTTTAAATAAGTTAAAATTAATGATGTATATGATGTGATTTAGATATATGAGTATTATATAAGCAAAATAAAAAATTGTGTTAAATATATAAATAAATAAAAA